CGGCGTAAAAAACTATCTTCAAGGAATTCCGTAACGGAAAAAATAGTACATGAAGCATTGCATACATTTAGGCGCATTGCTGGGTGTGAAGATACAATTGATATTGGAACAAGCAAATCTTAAAACCCTTAAGTAAACCGTTCCCATGACAGTCGGGTCTACGTAACCGGAACGGACCCGGCTTTTTAAACGGTCAAGGACGATTAACTCGGCAGAATTCAGCCGCTACAACAACAACAACAACAACCCTGCAGTGCTTATGATTTTAAATACTCTTTTTTCACTTTGTATATTTTGAATAGCTTCGAAATGAAATATTTCGAAATTTAAAATAAAAATTGTTTTAATATAAATATTATAAAAATAAAACGAAAACGAAAACGAAAAAATATTATATACTTTTAAAATGTTTTATTAACAAAAATTATATTGAAAGACATTAAAAGAAAATGAGTCCAGTTTGTAAATATTATTTTAATTTTTATATTTGAACAAAAAACTATATGAATGTTTTATTGAAAAAATAATATTAGAAAGTATTATAAAAAAATAATAAATTATTATAAAAATAACTGTGTCTTTCAAAACTATTATATTCACTTATATTTTTTTAATACATTTGAAGAAAAAATATTTGCAATTTGATGAAAATATAAAAAAATTTCTTTGGCTTTAATAATTTTTTTGCGAAAAAAATTTAACGTGTTGTTAAACTATTATTGTTTTTTAATAAATAAAATCATTATTTTTAGTATTCTTTTTTAGTTAATAAAAAAAAACTTTTCTTATGTCCAAAAAGTAATCTTTAATATTTTTTTTTAATCGAAAAAAAAAAACATTGAGAAACAATTCAATTTGACAAACGTCAAAAAACTCACAAGAAAAAACGTTAGCTTCGGCTGCATCGAAGTTATGATACCCTTCACAAGTGCATTTCTTATAGCTTAGAAGGACATAAAAAGATCGATATCTCAAAAACTGAGCGACTAGTTCGCGTATCTACGACGTTTTCTTTTGGTTGGTACAAACTTCGTGATAAACTTGATAAACCCTGTTGAGGGTATAATGAGTTATTTTAAAAGGGTCTATATTTACCTTCATTTGCACCTTACAGTGTATGTTATGGAAATGCATAATTTTTTGTGTAAATATTAAAACGTAACTTAACCTGAATATGTCACAAGGTTTTCAAAAAAAAAATCAAATTCAAGCGTGCGGCAAAAAAGCGAAAAAACAAATGCAGCTGTTGTTTTGTTGCAACACTGAACCCACAGAGATTGTAAATAAACAAAAATGAAAAGTCACAACAAAAAAGTTGCACGTTCAACGCAAAACAAACAAAAGAGAGCGATGCGAAAACAGTGACAAAATAAATAAAACCAACAAAAAGCGCACAAGTTATTAAAGCTTTAAAATAAAAAATAAAACACATGTACGGCCCGCCATAAACTTGTAAATTTAATGAATTTCGCATTTAATGCTGGTAAATCAAACAGAAACAGCTGAGGAGCGAAATAAACAACGCCACAATCAGCTGAGTTAATTTGCGGACAAATGACTTTGCAGAAAGCGCAGGTTAACAGTACCACAGCGAAAACGACACAACGCATTCTATGTTGTTGTATTAATTTTCTGATTTTTTGTTTTCTTTTCTTTATCAAACAAACCAATTTTAAAGCACTTTTTACTTGATAACAACATTTTTTGACCACTTTGCTTGGACACTTTATGGACGTCGCACTTTTAGAGCTGAATTCGGGTAAAATATACACGAGGTAACAAGAACAAGGAATATGCCACCGATTCGAAACTGAATTGAAATTATAAAAAAAAAAAAAACGTTACAAAGTAACAGCAAACGCAACAATTTAGTTGAGAGTCTCTCTCGACTTGGACTTAAGCAACGAGTGTACGCGCGATTGTTTAGCAATGCGACGCAACCGACCAACAGCGCGACCGACGACAAGTGTGCCGCTAAACTGCACGAAAAGCACATAAAAGGCGCAAATGTGTTGAGGAGCAGCTGAACTGAGCGCAACGATGACGGTAGCGACAACAACGACGACGACGCCAGTGCAAAAAAGAAATCAACGAACGTTCACGTAATGGCGTTAAGGCAGCGCGCGGTGGGGTGTGGAGCCTGTGCGACTGATGCGTAGCGCGCACGTAACGAACACAATTGACTGGCCAAAGCCAACGAAAAAAAAAACAAAACGCCAAACACTTGCTGACCGTTTCACCGCTACGATCGATTATGGCGACTATTTATTGAGTCGCGATTTGTATGCGATGAGTGGGGAACGAGTGATACCCACCGACTGCCATAGCAAATTCTGCTGTTAATATATACCATATATGTATGTGCGAAACACGCTCGCTTTGTCGAGTGCGTCCGTTATGCTGAGTGTCCGAATGCCGACTAAATAAGAAATGTGTTGAAAACAAAAGTTTTGTGTCAGCTGGTGAGCGCTTTGATTGCCGCTACCGCTATGGCTACACAGCTGACGAACGCTTCGTTTTAGTCATAGCTATCTGTAGCTAGCTATGCACAGGCTAATCGTTTCGGTTCCAGTTGCAGGTTGCAGCGCTTATAATGCCGCGACGGCGAGTGCGAACGCGTTTGGGCTCTGGCACAGTTTCGTTATGCGACATTTAAGCTTCGCTAAGTGCAGCGTGAGGTGCGGCATTGTTGGCGCTCCGTTCGTGTCATTTAGCTTATAATGGCTATAAATGTCAATAAGTTTGAAAGCTTTGTTACTCACGTGTAGTGCGCGAGTGGGCAGTTAATAGCGACGGACTACGATGTCAATACATTTATAGGTTTTAAGTTTTTTTTGCTCACTTATGACCACAAACGTATGTGGGCCACTAATAGCTGGCTGTTGCGAGACTTTGTGTGTTTATATTGCACGCGGCGTAGCAAATCAAGTAAGCCCTTAATTTTGCGGAGGTAAGGTTTTGGACAATCGAATCGGTTCATTTGAAGCTTCGGAACTCGACAGCATTTGTCAGCGAGTGCGCCCAAGAAGCTGTCCCTCATAAACGACTTCTACGGAGATAGCTTAAAACTCATAGAAGCCAACTTTGCCGGTCAACATCAGTGGCAAATCCGACTGAATATTTTACAAAAGTGTAGCCTTGTCCGTCTGTCTGTCTGTCTGTATATACGCGTACTAGTTCCGACGTTTTTGAGATAACCAACTGAAATTTTGTACGCGTCCCTTTCTCTACATGAAACTGCTCATTTACCGGAACCGTTGATACTGCACCATTATTCCCAAGTTCTTATATGGAAACTTGTTAAATTGTGTAGGGTATTATAGCTTCGGTGCAACTGAAGTTAACATCTTTTCTGTTTTTTAAGTAGATCTTACATCAGATCAGATCTTTTTTAAAATCAAAAAACACCTGAGTCTCGGAAAACTTGAAAAATTCCATTTTAATTAAGCCGTTCCATTCTCACACATTAATCTCTCATTTAACACATACGAGAGTACCACGTACGTTACATATAAACACAATATATCGAGTTGTAAATAGTAAGACATTAGGTAAACACTCATAAAGTTGGCAAATTTGCATAAACTTAATAAACTACAAAACAAACAAAGCAACGCCTTTGCTAATCATTTAACGTGACCAGCGCTTTCGAGCCATTCAAGCCATCTAAATATGCATTAGTGTGCTTAGACCAGTGCATGCGCGCATTTTTCCAACGTAAGAACTCACAGAGGCCGGGCACGCATGCGCCGGAGATGAAAAACAGCAGCCGGCAGCGCAAATAGAGTGGCAACGCGCCTGGCGCGAACCAGCGGACCGGCGGCTAACTGGCACATGCCACTAATTAAGTCAATAATAATGCTAATGGCGCAGCGCGGCACTTATGCAATGCTCAAGTAGAGCTTTCGTAATAAGTGTGTTTTACAGCATTTGTTTTTCTGTTATTTCATTAACGTGTTGGCCATAAAATGCGGTGAATACACTATGAATACCTGATTTCAATTATTCGAAAAGTCAGCTTTGCCAAGCTCAATACTACAGATATAATCTCATGTTTCCATATAGATTAGTTTAGATATTTTGTCGTAGTTAATGACTTTAACACCGACTTTCACTTTGACTTTCATTGAAAGAATGCTAAACTTTGTGATAAGAGTTTTAGAATCGAAATGCTAAACTGATTTTTATGGTGTTGAACTTTAGGTTAATAGTCCGAAGATCTTCCCGAAGTTCTGTGGTTAACGTCCACTGCCACTTTGAAATGCCTACAGAGCTTTTTAAAGCTTTCAGCGTAATTATTGACTTTTCAAAGAAAAAAGCTCTAAATTTCGAAATAAGTTCTGTACCGCAAGAATCGCGATCGTAATGCCATATAGATCATATTCAAAGTGAGAGAATTTTCCAATTATGCACAACTGCTGTTGTAATCACTAAAGTAGTATGACAGTGCTTGGTCACATATGAGTCCAGAAGTCCTGTGGTGAACTTCTACTGCCACTATGAGATATGTACTGAGCTTTTTCAAGCTTCCAGCGCAAGTAGAAGTACCCTGCAGAGTTCAAAATTTCGACCGGCATGTGTATAAAAGATTCAAGCACCAAATTCAACTTTAGAAAGATTATAGTCGTAATATTTTCAGAATGATTTCATGATTTCATGCTACAACAACCGCTTTGTGCTGGAAGAACCAATATTTTGACAAGAGCCTTTCAAGCATAAACGCAATTTTCTATCCGTTCCGCTTTCGAAGCATTCCAGAGCTGATGTGCCTGTTTTGACCATATCTAACTTAGTATATACGACTTTAACGCTTTCTATTGTGAATTTTTTCCCAACTCTGAGATAAGCGCAAACATTTTTCTAACTACAAGTATAATTAACGTAATTATCTTGCGAGAATAACACTTAATATATATGTAACTAGAAATCTACGATTATTACTAGTGGAAAGAAAATAAAAATTGTTTTGAAGCAAAAAATTATAATACAGTTGCACTTACGATCGCCAAGCATACAAAAATATGTATACAGCAAATCAGCCGATTGGACAGGCGCTGATGAAATTAACAGCTGACACAAAGCGACGACGAGGGTGGGGTTTTGCCGTTTGAAGCAACTCGTGCGGTTTATCGCTGATGGATGCTTATAAAAGTAAGCTCGCGTCGAATGGATGGCGTATCGTGACAGCAGCGACTGATAAATTGACTGTGGCGTTTGTATGTTAATTGTGGCTCACTATGTGCTGGCCTTTAAATGTGTGCTGGGTTAACTGAGTCGCAGTGAGGGCGCGAGAGTTCTTAGCACACTTCACACTTATCTCAACAATACAACTCAACAAGTGTTGAACTCAGCACATACTTAGAACAAGATGATAAGCAAAATGTATGCAGTTGGTGCGACAATGCTTGTTGTTAGTATTGTTTTTGTTGTAGTTTTTAGTTAAAAATTACGCCACAAATTTGCTATAGTGATTTAATACGAGCGTTAGCATATCCGACAGCTTGTAGCGCATAACGTAAGTGAGGCGTGATGCCCCTGCGACAACACACACACACACACGTGACGGCGGCGACGACAGCCACAAGCACTAGCTACGATGCAGATCACTCACTACTAAGCAGAAAAACGCAGTTAGATGCTTTGTTTGAGGTATTGCAAACTAAAGTATAAACAATTTATTGTTAATTAATTTTAGAATTCAACTTTAATTCTTTTCGAACTTTAAGATTTCGGCTGATCGCGTTATCGTTTGTATGCATTTGCGATTATCAATATTTGAACTGATTAACAATGTTTTAAGCGCTAATAAGCTTAACGAACGCTTTGTATTAACACACAAACGCGCGTTCGACGCTGATCATCTGACTCTGACTGAGGCTTATGGAATACAAAGTGCAAAGCTTAAGCGCTTTTGTTTCAACGATCATTAGCGTTACACTCATTACACTAGTGGCGATGCTTGCTATTTGGATTTTTTTTTTTTATTCAAGATGCATATTTTTTGCAATTTTATTGCTGCCCCCAGCGGTTCAGTAGCGCTTTGTTTTTAAATCAGCATTCACACACGACGTGCATTTATACATATGGACACACATACTTACAAGTAAATGCGCTTATGTAAATATTTTTGATTGCAAAATTATAGATTTTTTTCCAATTTCAAATATGTAAGTATGGAAGCATTTCTACGCGATTAACGTTCACAAAGGCAATGCCGCGCGATCACGTTTGTCAGCGCTGCGCCGATGACAAGTTTTCTACTGACAAGCTGTTGTCATTTAATAAAGAATACAACGGTGTGCGCTTATTGACTTGATTCACATTTAATTTCATGTCATTGCCTATATATTTATTTACTTTCTGTCAGCATATATATGTACATACTCGTATATATATACTCGTATACATATACAGGTATATTTATATAATTAAATATGTACAGTTGCGTGCACTTAAATGTACTGATAAGCAGCTTTGACTTTTAATATACCTTGGCCATGTAGCGTTTATGTATAAAGATATACATATACACATGTACTTATAATATGTATACATATGTATATGTAAATTCACAAACAAGTTAGTCAACAATTTTGCTATTGTAATTATAAATTTTAAATCACTTGTTTATTATTGATACTGTCTTGCGGTTAAAAGTGCCGTTATCAAGCGAAAGTAATATTATAAATAAACAGTGCCACGAGAATCAACTTTACCTAAGAATAGTGCTTAATCATAAAAGTAAAAAATTTCGAGAAAAACGCGTTTAAAGTTTTGGTAGCCGATTACACTAAGCTAAAAAAATTCTTACAAATACGCTCATATCTCCAAAACTGTTTAACGGATCGACTTCAAATTTGCGGTATAAACTTTCAAATTTACATACACATAAACATTCGTTATATTTATGAGCCAAAAAATTTATTTTTTTAACTTCCCGCTAAGAAAATTGAAAATTTTCTAAAAATCGGGAAGATATTGGTTTCACCCCATTTTGCAAAAATCGAGTTCTCAACAGATCTCGACGTTTTGAGGGTCGAGGAAGCTTCCCCGAACATTTCTACGATGATGTCCGTATGTCTGTATGTATGTGTGGATGTATGTGTGTGTGTGTGTGGATGTATGTGACCCTCTTATAACTTTTAAACGGCTCAACCGATTTGAATAAACTAAACGGCATTCCAAAGGGTTTCATTGCACTTGAATTTCGTGTGAGTTTGGACCCAATCGGACCAGTAGATTTTGAGAAATCTTAAAAATAAAAAATAAAAATAATCAGTTCTAAACCTTGAAAAAACACATCGTTTGCCGCAAACCGGGTCAAAATCGGTTGATTTACTTGCGAGATATCGAAAACGAAAAATTTCGAAGAGCTCAAAAGCAGTGAAAAAAGCGAAATTTGAACGTTAGCGTATGAAATTAGCGGGAAGTTGCAGGGATGGCCCTTGAGGCCCCGTTTTCCACATTTTTTTAATTTAAAAGTGGATATAAGCTGCTCACGGCATATTCTGGATTACTCCAACTAATGCTAGCTTAGTACATATATTTACATATAGTACAAATTTTTTTAAAGTGAGTGCAATTTCTTTATAAAAATTTATATTTTTATAAAAGAATATTACGTCAAATGAAAATTAGTTTAATTAGCTACACTTTTGCTAGCGTTATTTATAATTTTGTTTCGTTATCGGTGCGATTTCACCGTATTATTTGCATAACTTCTTTTTATTTTAGCAATTAGCACTACAGCTGTACCCTATTAGATTAGATAACAAGTAACTATTAGGATGATGCTTATTTTTTTTATAGAAATTTTGTTGTATATATTAATGTTTTGTTGCATGAGCCAAGCAAATATGGAAATTTCGACTCGGGAAGGGTGCTATAGCTTCGGTGCAGTCAAAATTAACCTTTGTTTTTGTTTTTAGTTAAGAAAATTCTGCGTGACGAAAAGTGCAATTTCACTTTCTAAAAGCTACTACCCAACATTACTTTTATCGCACAGCGTAATTTATATGTAAATTCTTACAACGCGTTATATGTAAATTCTTATACGTGCTTCAAATAACACTTTAATTGAGTCAATTAGCATTATTTTCTTGTACAAGTATTAGTGTAGACAATTTGCTAATTAATTCAAACACAAACACAACTTTGAAGTAGCAATAAATTGTAAATATCTAACTGTAAAATATTCCTCTTGACAGCATCATGCTGAATTATTGCATATCACTATAAATATACTTTCCCACACATAAATATTATTATTACGCTAGAATTGTTACTAGGTGTCATTGTTATTATTGTCACTCACGATGAGTAGGCTATTTCACGCAATCACGAAATATAAACAAAGCAACAATACAACTATGTATGTATGAAATAAGTGAGCGGCAGGTAAACAAAATATACGCAAATCTCCTTTTGACTTTCCTTTCACAACGTCTATTAACATATACATACACAAAATGCACTTACCACCATTCACGCATTGCCCCCACATTGGGCGCCGATGAAGCATTGCTGCCATCACCGACACTGTTGCGATTGATGCCTAGTGTTTGGTGTTCCTTGTAGGCCGCCGCAGCAGCCGCATTTGTGGCTGACGGTATACACTCCACGGCGGCTGAGCTATTCTTACGACCATTCACATTACTGGTGGCGGACTGCGACATTTTCGTTTAGTGTTTAGTAGCTGTATTATTTATAATTTTTTTTGGTTGTTGTAAAAAGTGTGTGTTTTGTTTTTATTTGCTTAAAGCAAGTGTTTATTTTAATTGTTGTTTTCTTAATATTTTTTGAACACAATGAAATATGACAATTGGCGCAGACGGAAGTGCTTATTGTTTAGTTTTATCTGGGCATGCATGTGTGTGTGTGTTTTACTGCGTACAGAGTTCAGTTGAGAGTGGAAATGGAGGCTTTGAAATGTTACACTTAAGTATGAGTTAATATTAGATTCTAATCAATGGAATTGTATGTACCCTTTATAACTTTGAAGTCACCTTTAGTCACTGCACTTGAAACTGCTTTAAATTTACATGTCTTTGACTCTAGCCAGTTTCCGATTGGGATTTTACTAAATCGTTCTCTTTCAGCCTTCACAGGTGCAGAGGTCGGTGCGGCGGAGCTGCAGCGTTTACAAAGTATTTAGATGATTTCACAATTGTCTGTTTTTCGATTTAAACACGCACACATTTATTCACTTTTTCTTGCAAAACATTGCTATTTATTTTATTTAAAAAAAGCAGTGTGCTAAATTTCTTAACAAACGTAAAAAACGTCGCGCAATTAATGAAAAAGTTTAATATCACCATTTGTCACACAACACGAATAAAATAATAGCAGCAAAACAGCAAAATAGTGACAACTGCACGAAGCAATAATCAAAAGAGAACAACCGCTTGATGTCAGCTGTTTAAAAATCGCCGAGTTTAGAAAAAATATTATAGCGTGACATCTGACGGACACTAGTGGAGAGTGCGAGTTTTAATTAAAAATTCAGCTAGTATACATTATTTCAATTTCTAGCCGAGCAATACAAGTATATATGTACATTTATATATATAGTTTTAGGTGTTTATTTTAATAGGTAAATTACTATTAAAAATTATACCTTTTCATGAGTAAAATAAAGGGCAACATTATACCTAAATTGTAATCGTTTTTGTTGGTTATGCCAAATTGCTGGCGTTGAAATGCGAAATTTCTCTGTTGAGAGAATAAGCCTTCGATAGCTCAGTTGGTAGAGCGGTGGACTGTAGAGGAATAAATTCGAATAGAATTACAGCGGATATCCATAGGTCGCTGGTTCAAATCCGGCTCGAAGGATTGATATAATGTTTTTTTTTCAATTTTTTTATAAGTAATTTAAATTATAAGTAATTGTACACGCCCAACCTTCACGTTGTAAAAGTACACCGTATTTTCTAAATTTAAACTAATACACATGAGATTAGCTGATTGCAAAAGTTAGTGGAGTTAGATTGGGTTAGGTTAGGTTGGCTTAAGATGTTGATCCAAAAACAAAAACAAGAAACGGATCCCACTTGGACACCTGAGACGATCTATTATGATACCTAAATACTTCGAAATATTGCTTGGAAATACTCTCAGAAAAAAAACTTGCCTCAAATTTGTTAAAGCAGCTGATCAATTCCATCTCGTTCGCCAGGTTCGTGCACGCCTATTGAGTACCGTTCAGTAAGTTAACCATGGTAGAAAAGATTGTTGATGCATTTAACTAAATATGCTATTATTTACAAGTTGAAAGTCCGCCATCTCAAACTGGGTTAGGTCTAGACCTAAGGTCATTACTTAGCCATTCAAAATGTTTATAAAAGATCTGGAGAAGAAAAAACTGGCCCACTGAGGACTAAACCAATATGATTTAGACGCTCATCTTTTTTGCAGCTAATATGAAATCTCGAGATCTCCTGTATTCATACGATGAATGAACCAGACAGAGAAAGAAAAACACCGGACGTAGTATGTTTATACATAAATAGTCGACTTTGGCTTGAATGAATGCAATTTTCGTACATTACAGAATTTTAAATTTAACTTCGAATTGTCTGAAAATAGATTTCTTTACATATGTAAATTTTCATAACTGCGACACGTGAATAATTCCAAAATGCAAGCAAACAATGGAGATCACGCGGCTAAATATGAACGAATGCTTTAATAAACCTCAATGAAAGCTGTTCGATATTTTCTTCGCCGATAACCAAAATTATACGTTAAAATCTGTAGATAACTAAGACCGGGAGCACCAGTACTGGCACAATACTGTGACTGCAATCCTTCACGGACTTCCGCTGTGCACTTCTTAGATCCTATACGCTATGAAAGCTTGGTGGAAACTACCAATTTTTCTCTCTCCCTCTCTCTTGCAGGGGGTCAGTAGAGATGATCTTGATATGGTCAATAATGAGTCCTACGACAGTCGGGTCTAACTGACTAGGATGGTTCAGGACTTTCATCCGTCGAAGGACTAAGAGCGTGGCAGCATTCCTTACAACAACAAAGTATTATTATTCAATACGGCCATCGACCAAAGTTCACAGTCAGATTAGGCTTAAGTAAGATGGTTGATCCGAAACGCTTTAACACCAATCTGCTTGGATGCTTTATTTCTATTTCTGTTATTTCAATTGTATATTTAAAGTATGAAATCCGAGGTGTCAAAGGCAAACATTCGAGAAAGAAGTGTTGAGATGATCTCATCGTCTTCCAAGCAGCTTAATCAACTGGCATCGGGTAAACTATTCAATATTCAAACTATTAAAAATTTCAATATCTTATTTTTACGAGGTTGTCTGACGCTGAAAATTGATCAATAGATCTGGCATTGAGACGATTTCTGAAATTTGATTTTGAAGAAGCTCTATGCTATGCGAGCTTCTGAAACTATTTATGGAGTGTCTTAATTGTTTTCGATTGCTAAATTACTACTTGAAAGCGCTTGTAATCAAGTAACCATATAGATTTTTTTAATAATAATAATAAGTTTAGTTAAAATATTTTTATGCTCATGGACTTACCTGAACTGATTTCGTTTCTCGATCAAGTCAGCGACACGTGTGCGCCGCAAGGGTGCTGGCGAGGCGCCAGGCGAGACCTGCTGTTGATTAAGCGACGCGCCCATCATTGTTAATGTTGCCGAAGACTCGGCTGCTGCCGCGGCCGCCGCTGCTGCTTGCTCGGCCACCAAAGCACGCGCCATAATCAGATCTTCCTCCTTCATTGTCGTTAAACTAGTGTGTAGATATTTGCTGATAATTAGCGACGCTAAGCGGGCGTGTGAAGTTATATTGGAAAGCCGTACACGCGAAGCTGTTTGTTTAGTGAAATCTAAATTAGCGCAAGTGTTTTAAGATTGACAACACAGAAGTAAGTAAATTTTTAAAAATAATTGCAAATATGCATGCTTAGAATTTTTTTGCTATACTTGTTGTTTATCGTGCTTATTTTCAATCACTTTGTGAGCCGAAACTCCAATTCGCATGCAAACTAGTAGACTAAGTGCACTTGTACCCAGCCATGTGCAGACACAATTGACCCTGTTTTAATACTCTCTTTGAGTTTTTATTATTTTATTTTATTTAAATTTTTATTTTTTATTTTTTGTTATTTTGTTTTCGTTTTTTAATTTTTTTTGTTTGTTTTTGAATTCCTAAACACTTCTGCTTTCAAATCAGCATATATGTGTGTATGTTTGTATGTGTTTGTGTATATTTTTTGCAAACACAAATCCGCCGTAAAGGAAGTCTATGTACATGCATATATTTATATAAATTATTGATTTATGTAAACGGCGTTAGCAGCGGATTTCCATACACGACTTCGGTATACGAAATAGGTAGCACACAATCGAGGAGATATCACAACTGCACGTAGTTGAAGTCGAATTTGTACTGATGCGTTTGCTGCAGCAAGCTGTTGAGTTTAACACCAAAATTGTAGAATTTTGTAGCAACAGCGAGAACAACAGCGACAGCAGCAACAATAGCAACAACAACAGCGGCAGCAGCAGCAAAAAACAACAGCAACAATACTGACAACAACAACAATGACAGCAACTGCGTTAACGCCAGCAGCGGCTGTGGCAACAACACACAGCCACATTGATCATAACAACAATGCCTTCTAGAGATCGCTTAGATACATATAGCCATATGTATATGTAAGAATTTACCTTATATACATATATATGTAGATATATAACTATAAACACAGAAAACCACACTGAAAAATATATGCATACGCTCGTGTGTGTGTATATGTGTGTATGTCTATCTGCATTATGCATGTACGCCCGTATAGGTAGTCACCCGCCATCACGTATGTACATACATATGTACGTGTGTTTGTGAAAATTCTGAATTCAGCACAAAAAATTATTTACATTTTCTCAATTTATTTGTGTTTATTTTATTTTAAATATTTTTTTTTCTGACTTATGTAGTGATTTTTTCTTGCTACTTGCGAAGTGATCTTGTTCGCGTTGTGCGGACGCAGCGTTCGATAGGCTGCGGCAAATAGTTGCAAAAACAATAACAATAACAACAAGAACAAGCGTATACATATAACAATACGCGCATTAGCAATGAGCGCAATAACAATGATCGGCAGCAACAGTTAATACAATAAACAGAAAACAATATAGCTACAACAACAACAAGAATAACAACAACAACATTGTAAAGTAACAGCACAACAACAGCAATGTCAGCCAGCAGCATTTCCAGTGCTGCTGCTAACACCACAACGCCAGCAAACCACAGCTCCGCCGCAGCCCCCGCATCATCCACACATTACAGTTTACCTGGTTGAGGTTTGTGTTCGCGCAGCCAACAGTGTTGATCTTGAAATTGTGCGAAGCAACAAGCCTCCTCCTGTTCGAACGTTCATTATTTGCGGTGGCGATCGGTTAGTTGTTTATGTACAACCACACATACATATAAGCATACATACAAACATACATTATAGCACAGGTATAAATAAATACTAAGTCTCATACACATAAATTGTGTATAAAATACACGCATTTTTATGTACATGTGTGTGCCTGTGTGTGCAATGCTGTCTCACCTGGCGCGCGTTTCCACAAGTGAATCTGTATGTGGAACTCCTTATACATACGTGCGCGCATAAATACTATTTCACCTTGTTGCTGTTGTTGTTGGCATTCGTTATTGCTTTTAGTTGCTAAATAGGCGATTCGTTTCATTCTATTTTTCATGGAAGAGCGTACTTAATCGATTGGTTGTTATACATTTTGACTAGACTACATGTAAAAAAACTGCATGTTCGAGGTTCGAGAGAAACGGATCGCGAAACAGTTGCGGCTTTTCCGCTCGGCTTGACGAAACACCTGATTAATTGACACTTTCAATCTGACTCATTTTCCTACGTAATCAGTGTGAGTCTATAAACACTAACAAGCTGCGAAGCTGAGATTGACTTTAAGGATGTCTTACGACGTTCACTGTATGATTGGACTGAGGTCTTATAGGGCCTCGTTTGCTAGCAAAGCACAAACTAACCGATTAGATTTTTTTTTGCAGTTCAATGATAAACATGTTGTGGTCTAGAAGACGATCGAAGAGTTGACGATCTCTGCACAGTTATGCACAGGCGGCCACTTTGCTCTTTTGAACTTTACTCCTTAAACGATTTGATTTTTTCTTTTGATAAAGGTCTTCTTCTTACCACCAGCTTAATTAACATATAAGAATAATACTCTATGTTGAGAAGAAGTAGAAAAAAGCGCAAAAGTTAAAAATGGAAATTAAAAAGTCCGAAATATTACAGTTATTTATAAACATCAGTTCTTCTCTGAGTACAGACACTTCAGCACTACCAAAGCTGCTACAATATCTAGGAACCTGCAAATGTGATTAATAAAGAAATAGAATTTCAAACGGCTCTCTGAACCGTCACTAATATGAACTGACTTGGATTGGCTTTTTTTTACGAGGACGAAATGTCGAAAGCCTGAACACCATGTCAGTGTCGAACTTTAATCCTAACTAAACCTTCTGGCGTCATATAAGGCTCCTCCAGTTAACACTGTCAAATATTACGTCGGAAGGATGTTTGAGCACTGCTCATGCGTTTGTACTGGTCTGAATGCATTCAGTGACAAGCTGCATTTACTGCACCCCACCTCTGTTAGTCGCTGATGTCACCCCATCCAATTTTTATTACAAAATCCTTCCCTTATCCGCTAGACTTTTTGGTATGCGTTTGTTTGGTCCGCGTCCTAGTGGTCCGTTTAATTTTCAAGTTCTGTTCTCCATTGCTGTTCTCTGGCTCTTATGGTTTTCATCATTTTCGCACGCCGCATTCCACTTATCTTTGGATTCAACCATTTAGACTACTATGTTTTCATGGTTTGGGTTTAAACCAAGAACACATTAGCTATCGCCTTTCTTGTTCGTATTGCGGACAGTGGAACAACGTATGCTTCAAGTTGAGTGTCAAAATGGACATGTTGGATCACATGACTTGTGCATTTTCAAACCCATTTCATTGTCACTGTCTCTACCTTAAGTTGTTATTATGTTATTAATGATTTAACAGTCAATTTATTACAAAATATAATGCAAAATTCGCAAATTCATGCCGTTATTCGATAAACGGCACATTTGTTACAATACTTTATTTTTATTATACCCTAAACAATGTATATTAAGTTTGGCAAGAAGTTTGTAAATCCCAGAAGGAAACGTCGGAGACCCTATATTGCATAATCAGCATAATGGACTGAGTCGATTTAGTCATATCCGTCTGACTGTCCGTGTGGCTGTATATACACGAACTAGTCCTGCAGTTTTTGAGATATCGACCTGAAATTTTTTACACGTTCTTTTCTTCGCAAGGAGCTGCTCATTTTTCGAAATCGCCGATATCGGATCTTTATGGCATATAGCTGTCATAATACCTCATCGCACCAATTAAAGTTCCTGTATGAAAAATAAATTTTATTTGACAAGATATCTTCACGAAATTCGGTATAGAATATTGGGCAAAGCAACAGTACAACCTCCAAATATATTGTTCAGATCGATTCAAATCAAATTCTTTTATGGAAATGCATTTATAATTGACGAGATATATTCAAGAAATTTGGCACGAATTATTGTTGAAGGCAACACCATAACTTCCGAACAGCTTGTTTACATCGGATGACTATAGCATATAGCTGTCATACAAACTGACCGATCGAAATAAAGGTTAAGATTTTTTTATACCTTTTTACGCTATAAGAAATGCATCTGTGAAGTGTATTATTGCTTCGGTGCAGCCAAAATTAACGTTTATTCTTGCTTTTTTTCAATTTTTTATTTTTGCAAAGTGACGTGTAAATTTTTCTCATTGTCGCAAATAATATGCATCAAATTCAAGGCATTCCGTCGAAAGTATCAACATACGTATGTACAATTTGCTCGTATTTTCGTATAGTAGAAATTCAAGGTGTCTGGCAACGGCCTGCGGCAACTTGGATAGCCCACAGCTTAACAATTATTAATGCAATAAAAGTAAAATTTATAATTAAGTTGTATGTTGCAAATATGTATAAACAGCTTTTAATAGATAATAGAAAATACTTGCAAATATAAATATGTATGGACATATGCCAGTCGTGATGGCATACACATACTATTTATTATATTCAAATGAGTACCAGTTCCGTTTTGTTAAACAAAACATACACAAACATATCAACAAGCAACGTTCCAAAGGCGCACCCATAATGTTTATATTTTCATTTAACCATTTTTCGTTTAGTCATTATTTTATTGAGCGCGCTGTTTAAATTTATAACACACGATTAAAGCAACTTATGCATATTTAAAATCGTTTGTCGTAATTATGCAGGCACTTCACTATGCTGTGTAACAATTTGCATATACATAAATATGCATATCTATTGATATATGTGCATATGTGTACATAAATTTATGTGTAAATGCATATAAAGGATATGCAAAGTAAGGCTATCGATCTTCTTTGAAGCGATCTTTCTAGTTGTCACCCAAAACCACCTGCAAAATGAAAGGAATGCAAATGCGCAGAAGACTTCAAAAAATTGCCGATCGCCCAATTGTATAGCACAACTTTTCCAAATATCTTATTCAGTTCAGAATGGAGAAGTGGTTTATGAATTAGTTATGAAAACATTTCACTCTTGACATCTCGTATCTCCTGATATAGACAGTTGTCGGCCGGAAACAAAATGTTGCGAAGTACATTTTAGTACTATCCCTTCAACGTACTTTAAAATCAAAGAGATTACACAGTGTTAACGATAATCAAAGTATACGAACGCTAGAACTCGGGATACAGTAACAACATTAAAAAAAGCGAAAAATTAATTTCAATCCCAATTTAATTTTATTTAATAAGTAGCTTACTCTTTTTCAATTTATTTTACAACTATTAAACTTTTTCTATTAAACAGTTTTAGAGCCAACTAAGTTTTGTAGACAACAGAGGTCGCTGCATACTGAATTCTTTACTGTCAGTAACAGCTGTCAAAGTTTAATATTCATTGCCAGATTCGGATTGCACAAGAAATATTCTGTAAAATAAGGAAAATTTAATAGTGTTTGAAAAACGCGATAGGAAAAAAAGTACGACTTTGTCATTATAATATAAAGTATAGAAAGAAAGAAAATGTCAAGGAAAGCCATTTCACTGTTTACGCTGGCAAACCGTTATGCAGCTGCTGTGAAGAGCCAAAACGTGTTGGCGACAAGGTAGGCACATTATCGCCGGTCCAGCAGTCTCATTGTTGCTGGGTGTTAGTGGTGTAGGCCAAAGTAGGTGTGATGGCAATGTGATAAGATTGTTGTGACGTAATAAAGCAATAAATTGCACAAACATTGTTTGTATTGACTCCAGTATTAGCTGAGATACTTTAATTTATAATCAAATCTTTCTTATTGATATAGACCAGCGTTGCGTTTCTACAGTTCGGAAAATTCAGTACAAAAACCGCAACAGTCAGACTCCGATGGCTCAAACCCATTGGAAAGTGCAGTTGCTGAAGCGACAAAGAAGCTAACAGAAGAAATTGAAATATTATCCAAAGAAGTGAATGACTTGAAAGAAAAGAATGATGAATTATTAGATAAGTACAAACGTTCACTAGCAGACAGTGAAAATCTGCGTACACGTCTCACCAAACAGATAGCTGATGCTAAAGTTTTTGGCATACAGAGCTTTTGTAAAGATCTGCTTGAGGTCGCTGATACACTGGGACATGCCACTGAGGCGGTGCCGAAAGATCAAGTAAGTTATTTTTCTGTCTTATGCAATAAATTATGTAATTAAATAATAAATTACAATTTAATTCCGCTCCATATATTAGATCAACGAGAATAATCCACATTTGAAGAACCTATACGAAGGTTTGGTTATGACTAAAGCTTCATTGTTGCAGGTGTTCAAACGTCACGGCTTAGAACCAATCAATCCACTTAACGAAAAATTCAACCCAAATATGCATGAGGCATTATTCGAAAAGGTGTGTGTATATATCATATTTTTCTCTTTAATGTAGAAATCACTGCGTACTGAATACATACTAATAGTAGTGTTTATGATTGATGAAAATTATATTATTTTGCAGGATGATGCCACAGTAGAGCCCAGCACCGTTGTTGTTGTCACCAAATTGGGCTACAAATTGCATGAACGATGCATACGACCTGCGTTGGTTGGTGTCTCAAAGTCATGAGGGGTTTGTTACTTCGTCGAATAACTAATAAAAAAAGCTGTTTGAAAGTACTCTGCAGTTCCTGAAAGAACTGAAAATTAGTATGCTCTTATAAATATGTTTTTGTTTAATTTTCCTGTGGTTCGAGACGAAATTTAATTGCATCTACTTCATCTGTCAGGAAAATTTGTTTTCTACACTAAGTCTGCGATTTTCATGACACATATTGTTATATATAAACTTTGAAAACATAGCAGCAAGTTATTCTTTACTGTTATGGCTTCCATGTTTATATATTTCAACTATTGTTATACTTTCCTTGAACTGCTATATTTCTTTCCAATATACAATGAATTTATGTAAAATTTCTAATTGAAAAAGTAATGAAATTTACCTTATGTCTCTATTGACTTTTTCAACACTTTAAAATAGTTTACTTGAAACAGCAAAATTAACAAATAAAAATGTAATTTAGCTATTAAAATAAAATTATTAAGTTAGGCAATGGAATATAGAAGTGTGTACGCATATACTTGCACTTCACAATGACTAGTGTGCGTTTGTATGAGTGCTTTGAAAGTTTAACTTGTTTTTTTTAAAGACTAAATGCACAGCGTTACACGAATAATAACATGTTCGCGATGATATAGAAATCTATGTTAATTATATAATAAAAATGAAAAACCACTATGTTTGTAAAATATATAACTCGCTACAAATTTTATTCAATAGTCTTAATTAATTTATGCTAAAATACATTTAAAGGCCGGCACTCAGCTATTTGAGTGTAGCCGCGGTGCTCTGCAGCAGTTTGCGCAAGTCATCATCCTGTTCTATGGCACGCTTCACCGCCGCCAACAGTTGTGCATCAATGCGGTCCGAACGATCGTTAGGCAGCGGTAAACGACTTACCTTTGCGGCTAATTCAGCCAGTTTTGGTTTGCTTTGCAACAACGTTTGCAATTGTTGTGGTGGTATATTGGTAGCGCGCGCCAGTTGTATATGCGATGGCACATAGAATTTAGGTGTATTCAAATGCACTGGCGAAAAAGCGCCCGATATGCCTACAGCATCGTTATGCGTCAAACGATTGTGCGAAATGGGTCGCAATGGTACAGGATAGTGATAAGGTAGGGGATTACGTACTAACATTGGCTTATGTTGTGCCATATTGGTGGCCGCTTGATGTGTTGCTGCCACTTGCATACGTTTTCTATACGTCAACTGTGGTTTGATGTATTTGCTTAGCTGTTGCTCGATATTTTTGCGTGTTTCAGCGGCATCAGCGCTACTACTTTGTGGCCAAAAATTGTAAATGTGAAAATACGCAGCAACACGTTCTAGAAAGTTGTTTTGTTTTGTTTCAGCAGTAGTTTCTACATTTTTTTCATGCTGCGATTTTTGTTGCTGTTGTTGTTGACGACGACGCTGCTCATCGGTGCGATCGGTAAAGTCGGCCGATTCAAGGTAGGCTTTTATCAATGCGATACCTTGTTCGGTGTTCGTCATCTGACGTATATATTTAATCGTCTCCGTTGCATTGGCAGTGCCAAGAAATTCGGCGAGCTCACTTATACTGGGCACTTCATCGAGACTCTTCAGACCGAGCTTTGAACGTGCAATTTCAAGCAGATCATGCGGAAACTCATCGGGTGTATAAAATGTATTACCTGTCGAAATTTCAAGCGATGTTGGTGCAATTTTTGTTGTAGTGTCTGCTGCGCTGTAGTCAGTACTAGAATCGGTTGCTGTATCAACGCTTGTAGGCGGCACTACAGTGCTTGTGGTAGTTGGAGCTTCGACTGACGGCTCGCTGTTCATAGTAACTGGCTCTATTGTTGCCAAATTAGCTTCTTGCGCATTTATAATCTTATAGCTGGGGTACTTTTGCAGTTTATGGAAATATAGCGCATGTCTATACGGCTCTGTAGGAACCTGTCGTGTGTGCGCCCACCTTAAAACGATAAAAAAGCAAAGTATCTGTAAGAAAAAAATAATAATTTTAGTAAAAATTTAATACTTTTTTGGTGCATTGTAAAATTTAGTTTATGTGTACTTACTCTGTAATCCAAAAACATTTTTTAAATTAATTATTCCACAGTGTATGAAAAATAGAATAATTTCACTGCGTACTACTTCCCGCCCGTTTGAATTGTCCAATTTGTTCGTCTACTTGCTGCCAGTGCAAGTAACCAACTAAAGCGTTTTCTAAAGGAATCTTTTTTTACTTGCAACATGCTGCACAAATGCACAATACATGCGGTTCTAACGAATTTTGTTACGGTGCATCTGTATACATGCGTGAATGTGTTCAAAATAAACAGACCATTTGTATGTTTGAGAATACCTTTGACATTTTACCTACCTGAATCTTGCTTTATTTATTTTTAACTGATTGCTCTGTTCGTGATCGTATTGAGAATGTAGGTGTTGTTTTGTCTATGGGCCACCAATAGAAATTCTACCTGCATTTGTTGTGTTGCGTGGGTCACTTTATGGTTTGTTTTATGATTCCACCGTAACAAACAATTAACATTCTACGAAGAGCGCTATTTACAACGTCGTTTTCAATGGCAAACGTTTTGTGTTAAGAAAAGTCGTGATAATGTGTAAATATACATATGTATGTATATAGTACATACATACGAATTTGTATGAGGAGTGCGTTATTGTAAGAACTACGTCGGTATATATTTATATGTACATACATATATATGTAGGTACAGTGGGACACAGTAGACCATTTCTAATATTAATAGCTCTTATTGAAAACATGCCAAGACCATTTCTCTTGAAAATGTCAATTTACATTTTGTTTGAAATCATTCGTTCCTTTAACACCGCAATGCTTTGGTCTCAACGAGCAATTTAATTTAATAACAGCGGCACGATTTCCAAACATATGAAGAATAATGATACTGATATTAAAAATTCATATACATATGTATATTGTATAAGTACAAATTTTGGTGCATGTGACCAGAAGTTCTACTTTCATTTTGATGTTGGGAGACCACGTGCTCTAAGCAGCGGTTTGATACGAAAATTATAACTTTGTTACAGTCAGGGGCATTGTAAAGTACAGGCAGGTTTATACTATGGTATTGGGTACATAGGGATCATGATAGATTCATCCAATTTTTGTTATAACATTTGCTAATACATATGTATGTAAGAGTATGCACATATTCATACATACATATACTTTGTTATGTGCTTTAATATTTCTTCGTTCACTCAATTCTATATTAAAATATTATTTAATTCAACATAAGACGATAACACCACGTGTTACTGAACTACATACTATGTATGTACATATATTAATACCCATATTTATAATATTTCAATCTATACAAATACTTTTTAAATGATTTTAATTTGTTGAAACATTTTTCAAGTTAGATAGCGCCATAAAAACAACTATCCACTGGTAAATATGTTACATTTTTCTCTTTGTCCGCAAATAGCACTCGAATGCCCAGGAAAATGTCGGCAAAAGAGCGTGCATTGGACAGTAATTAGAAGCCAACAATATTTTAATTATGCAAATACAGAAACTTATAGTTTGCCTGTTCTGTATAATTAGTGATATTTTTGAAACTTCAGCAATTATATATAGAATTAGAACCACTTATATTCCTTTGAAACTTTAGCAATTAAATATAGAATATATGAGACTGCAACATTTGCACCATCTACAGCAGATGCCAAATATTAAATGATTTATTCAGCAACTACTTGCTACTGTCAGGGTGAAACACGCTTGTCAAATTGTCGATTTTACTGCAGCAGCACATCCGCCATATGTGATTGGTAAGTGTTCGGAAAACGAAAGCAGTTGATGGCTTGAATCGATATGTCGGAGATTGAAGGAAATTATTTTAGTAAAAATTTGATAAACATATTGGAAAACTCAATTTTTTTACACATATATAAGAATAAAGGTTTTAGATGCATAAATAAATATATTTCGACTTTAAGTCACTTTCCAACAATACATTTTATATAAATAAGAGCTTATACATTTTTCTCACTGAGCTTGCTATTTCCTGCATTGTGGTTTCCTTTTCCCTCGTGCATTGTTTGACCGTTGAGAGTCAGCGAAAAATATTTTAAGTTTGGTGCGTGCTTTTCGATATTTTAATTACTTATTTTTATTTAATTATTAAATATATTGATGAACAATTATTGTAGATTGCTTTTAAATTGATTTCGAGTGCGTATAACCTGAAATGCAGTTCTCCAGTGAATTAATTTACGCAAAGCGAGTGATCGATAAATTTTTCGATTTTCATTGCAAATTTCAGAACATAATCAGTACTTAGCTGTAATATGTTGCGAAAATAGTGTTAGCATCAATGTTCTTAAGTAGTAGAGTCTAAAGTTATATCAAAAATAAGCAAAAGCACTCCGCTACAACCAAAAAGCAGCACGAATGTAGTTGCATGGTTGAAAACTATTTACCGGAAGTTTAAAGTTGAGTCGGCATTTGGAAATTAACGTCTTATACATAGTAAGTAAATTGCATAAAAACATATTTTAAAGCTTATTCCAAACAAATTTACGTATTTCTTGTATTACTACTGACTTTTGCTTTCTTCTGTCAACATGTAAAGTTTGACAGATTCAATGCAAAAAAAAATATATTTATATATATATATATCAATCACCATCTATTATAATACTTTTACATTGTGGAAATAAAATAGCAAATATTTGCTGATTTCATACACATTAGGTTAATAGCATAATCCTCTATGCTGTACTTCTGTGTTCCTATCCATATGTACTCACCTAATTGATCTCCTGCTGTGAAGGATCTTTCATGACAGCTAGATCGTAGAAGTAACTCTGCTAAGACATCCTTAACTGAATAGAGTTAGGTAGATTTGTTAGCAATTGAGCATAGAGCTAGGTAGATTTGTTAGCAATTGAGCATAGAACTAACATATATCGAACTTTTGTTTGACAATTGCTCGGAAACCTATTGTTCTTATTTTTCATGTGGAAACCTATGAAAACGCTGATAACCTATTAAAGTAACCTTTACTAATTGCACTCTTATTGTGTGTTAAATACATATAATCTGAGAGCGTATGGGTTTTCTATTGTATGTAAGCTTCTGCAACAGGGCTGTAAGAAAGGCTGATATCCTGTTCTAAAACAACAATGCTTAATTAATTAAAGCAATTCGAGAATTTGAGGTTATAAAACGTAGTATAGCGAAATTCCCTCAAAATTTGTTCAAAAATATGAAAATTAGCTTGTCTTATCTTCAAGGATGTATGTTAAAATTTGTACTGTGTGATTCTTAAGTGGAAAAGGCAAGGTGAAGATTAATAGTAAGTAAACGTTGCTAGTCAGTAATCTTTAAGGATTTTTCGGTTGCGTGTTGGTTTCCTATATCTGCTGCCTTCTGCTGTCATATTTAAAGCCATTGCTTTCTTTACTGCTCACATCTCTTTTACGTGTTTTAAAATATTTGTTTACTTTAGGAGTTTTGTAATAGGCTACCATGTAAACTAAGTTTGGAGATTATATAACAGATGGACTCTTTATTTTAAGAATATATTTCTAAACTTGGGTCGTAAATCGTTTTCACAGCAGTAGTCTAATTAGCAAAGGCCACTGGAATAGGTAAGCAGCTGTAAAAACAGTATGCTACATAAAATTCTAAAAAAAAATTTTATGTGAAACAAAAATAACTGTTTCATTTTTTTAAGAATATTCAGTTCTTCTATTTTCAACGGCTTTTGAATGGAAGACAATTACAAAGCTAAAAAAATGTTTGATAAATTAAAAAAAAAATAATAAAAAATTCTCTCTTGAGAAAATTTTAAAATTTCCAAGTTTCCGTAGCATCTGTAACTAGTTAAGTACCTAAATGATGAAAATAAACGAAATGTATGAAAATATCCTACTCGAAAGATTAATTAGCTGTGCTGAAAGTAACAGGAATTTAGCAATGTCATATGCGAAAAGTACGAATAAAAGTACAAGAATAAAGCAAAATCTCTAAACCTTAATTCTCACAAACACTAACAAACGTCAGGTATACTGCATGGAATGTTACATCCTTATCATTGTTTCCTGCACATTGTTGCAGGCACAGTTGTTAAACAGAGCTCAAAGACTTGCATTATGTTGTTGTTGATAGTTTCTAGACAATTTTCATGGAAGCAAGCACTCAGCTGGCCTTCCAGGTGCTGATTTTCTTCGAATGCTTCTAATATAGATTCCTTTGTAAATAACTGTTTACTTTCCTTTATTTTCATTTTACCAATTCACAGTTTCTGATTTCCTTTTCATGCTTTCCTGCTACTTTGACCTCCTTAATTAGTAATCCTTTGTTCAAGCTAATCTTTCGCCATTGTCATTGATCATCTAAGTGATCTTTTGTTACATTGCATCGCTTTTCTTTTGTGTTTTCGTACTTCGTTAGGATATTATTTCTATGACCTTTTTGGAAATTACTTCCTTTTCTCTGCCTTTTATTATTCTGTTCGCCTGTTCGTTCGACCTTTATTAATTAGCAAACTCTATTCTTTAATTATACTTCTAAACCGCAGTGCCAATAGAACTAATTATTGTTATAATACTAATTGTTATAGCCACACTGACCTCTAACACTGTTGATGTCTTTATTTAGGACTTTTTGTGTAAATTTAACTTAGAAACACCTCCTTAAATGTTGAGCTCCTGTTAAAATGACTTTTATTAATTAACTTCCTGCTCTGTCGTTTGCCGAAAATATAATTAAGGTTGGTCACGTCTTAAAAGTAGTTCAAAATTATAAGGACACAAACATTTGTGTGACCTCCTGTGAAATATAGATTAGAAGCTGATCATATTTTGAACACTGTGTGCATTGAGAATTTACCATATATACTACAATATATATTTGTAGTTACCTATATGTGCATTATTTTCCTGTCTTGTGCTCATGTTACGAAAATTCTCAAAACTACTTCCTTAAGTTCCTTTTCTTTTACTTTGTACATGACCTTCGTTCTTGTGATCCTCTCATACTCCCTTTTAAGCATTTGTCTACTTTCTCTAAAGCTGTTAGCCTATTTATATGCTCTTTAATAATTGAACTCCTGCCGTGCAAGAATTTTTTTAACGTAATTGTTTTGCGAAGCATTTTATAAAAAGTACGGATCTTCTAGCCGAGCGCCGTTGATTTAATGTGACCTGACAAGTGTGTTGTAGTATGCTTCTGATTTCATTTCGTTGCCTGATTGTTATATGAAATGCTTTTAACAAATCAAAGCATGTACTTGCAGGCATATGAAAGTGCCTTACTATCTGATCGGTGATGATGTGATGTGACCTTAAGATCATATGATCTATTTATATTGAGGTGATTGAACTTTTTTAGCGCTCTTAGCTGCTCCACTTATAAAAGCAGTGGAAAAACCGTCTTTTAGTCGATTTTCATGACCTTTGTGTGACCACATTAGTGCGATGTGATATGCCTATGACGCGATAACTAGCTGAAATTCATATTCCTGGGCGCTGAAAACATCAAAAATAATGTTTGCCTTTGGTCAATGGTAATTGTTTAGCGTGATTTTGATGATGTGTTGTTCATATGAGAGTTTTTTTTTTGTATATATTTATATATATATTATGTATGTATATGTGAATATGTATGTGTATCGATATATGTATTTATATATCTATGTATGTATGTATTCAAGTAAACAAGTTGATTTCTTCACTCAATATGTTAGAAATACGTGTATGCTATCTTGCAAGAAGAACCCAAATTCTTTTAATTAATATTTATGGAGTTTGGAGCATAACAAAGAGTTTGTTGTGATTCCCTGACTTGCGGTCGAAATTTTTGGGGGTGAAATACCACAAACTAATAGGCGAACAAAAAATAACGACAAGTGTAAGATGAAAGAAAATAGGCCTAACGGAGATAAATGTAAAAAATATAAAAAGAAAAGAATGAAGATAACAACAACAATAGCAAACAAAAGCATAATATAATACAATAAAATGTAGACAGAAATAGTCGGAGAACACAACAAAAAATTGTGATGCCTGTTGTATGCACAAGTGAAAAATATTGTAGGCACGTTGTTGTATTCTTTAGCTGCCTTAAATCAAAAAAAAATTCATATAGACACGAACATAGCAAATCAAACTTCGAGCAGTTGTTGGGCTCATTATAAATAGCTGACATAAGCAAACAAACCGGCATAACTGCTTAGATAAAGCACGCACCGTATTGTACGTGCTTATCGAACAAATGTTTGTTTGTTTTAAAAAAAAAAAAATAATTATAATATTAACAAATTATGGAAAAATACTAGGTAAGCAGCAGTAGTAGCGGTGTAGGCGTGTAACTAATTTAATTATTTTTTTTTTTTAATTAGATTTCCAAATTATCTAAAAATTATGCCGTTTCGGCAACCTGCGACCCTGATGAAGCATTTAGACGGGTTTTGTGTGCCTGATCTGCACTAACTTGACCATTCTATTCAGACTATATTAGAAAACACGCTGCTGCTTTTACTTGTTTCTAATACTTTTTATGAAAAGTTATGCGAAGTTTGTCGTGAAATGCGTCGTCAGTCGTCGTATATCATAAACAAACGCTAATTTTCCTTGGAAATTCATCAAAAATTCATAATTGAGGACGATCGTTTCATATATACAACTAGGCGAGCAGCATGCGATCGTAGCGTATGTAAAGAGAGAAAAAGAAAAATTCATCTAATGCCTTCAGTGCATGCTTACGACATTAATTTGTGCTAATCGTAATATAATGTAAAAGGGCTGCCTTTGCATAGGCACCGCCATAAGTGAGTGGGAGCGAGTGCATGTGCCGCACGATCAGCAGGCGTAAAAATATTTATACATACACACATACTTGCATATTTACAGTTAACACGTGTTCGGCAGTGATTTCCCAACACTGCATTTTTCGAGCTACAAACAAAATTTTACCTGAACGTATGTATTTATAACTGTGCATGTGTGTAGGCATACTGCTGCTTTTTACTTCACCTTTTCTTTCTCACACAGCCCAAAGTGAAGTGTTTCTCTATTTGAACTACCTTATGACACTTGCCGTGGGGCCACTGATAGCTAGCTAAAATTCTGACCACCTATTCGAATGTTACACTTTGTTCCGCATCATTAACATTATGAAAAGTAATCATATTTTTTATGAGCTCTTTGTGTGTGTGTCGTCTTCTTGTCACTTGACAGACGATCTTCGGTGGTGCTCTTGAAGAAAGCCGCAAGCTAAAATAAATTTTCTTAACGACTTTGCTCAGCAGCAGCTCGCGTCTTTTACAGCACTCGGCCGCCAGCATGCCATGCAATATGCCAGAGACATTGTTAAATAATATATATATATATATATAATCCGGCGCACGACCTCAACATGCGCTGTAAAGATGCTTTGCACCAACGTCAGGCGCCAGCAGACACCTAGTCAGCCGGCAAGCAACTCCAATTGGTTTAACAAGGCACGTAACACAAAAGATAGGTATACCTACATGCATACAGTTATATTAACTGATAAACTCTTTGTCTCTTCTTAATAGCCGTGGTACAAGTACCTACCATAATGCTATGCTTTTATGCCTACCACATGGTTTTTATCTGTCCGTGCGTCTAGCCACCACATCACAATTTCTTTAACAATGACATTGTCTTCTCAGCGCTCTTTTTGTCATTTTTCCACTGTCTTCGTTTACTCACTATTTTGTATGCTTGCCTATTCGCTGTGAAGACGCCGATTTCCTTAAATAAACATTCCATTTCGATTCAGTTTATTTTTGACCTGTGACCTTCAAGCAGCCAAGTACGTGGTCTTAAAATGTTATGTGAAAAACAGCAAGGTGGTTGCGCATAAAACAGCTTCTCTCTTAAGGGCCTTTACACAGCAAATGAGTTGTCTTGTGAAGATATTGTCAAAGAAGCCGACAGCAGGCGACAAAGATCGGTGATCTTTCGTTGCGCTACAGTCAGTATTTAAGGCCATTAGACGTTTAGCAGTACCTGTTAATAAAGTTTTTATCTTCATAAACTATCTAGGCGTCTAAAAATGTTATAAGTAGCCTGCTTTGTCTACCTGACCATATTTTAGGAGACCATCCTTGGAATAATAGTTTCCATGAGCAGTTAAACTGTCGGAGAACGTCTGTGACAATTATTGACGTTTCAATTGGCAATTAATGTTTGTAAAACTCTTGAGATTATCCTTTTGATCGATGAATTTCTTTAGCAACGCTCTGATTCAAATAATATCAGTGGGATCTAACTACCCCAAGATTTTGTTATTAGTTGATGATCACCAGTATTGTTCAGCATCTTTCCGTTAACAGCCTATCTTTTAAGCTACAGATATACGTCTGTCAGTTTTCAAAGCATCAAGGGTTATTCGTTCAAGGAAAAGTTATAAAATTCACTAATTTGAAAAGAAATTTTTAGGATTCAATGAACGCAAGATTTTATATTTGAAGAGCCTAAATCAATATCAAAACTATAACGCGACGTTCGGTAATTAAAAATCAAGTTGCTGCAGTTTAGTAATACTTGTAAGTCACTTCGAAGCACGATAGATTCCAGGTCACAATATAAGCCTCTATTTATTTCTAAGTCACTTTGTTACTTAGCAAACATTTTGCTCGATTTATGTTGGACACCTAGTAATGCATATAAATCAATCTTTTACATGCGGTATGAATTATAGCGTCGAGTTCTAATGGATTCATTGTGCTACTGAAATAAACTACACAGGGGTAGAGTTATCAGTCAAACTTTATAAAATTTATGATATCTGGATAGACAAGCTTTCCAGGAAATTTGTAGTAGTACAAGAATTGTCACCCATGAGAATACCCCCAAAAGTACTCAAAAGACTTTTGACACATAGACTCTTGTGTATAAGCATTGTAGACTACAAAGTCACCAAAACCGATTGTAGCCTGCCGCTGTTGTACTCCATTCTTGGCGTATAATGTGCCGACAGTCGGCCCATTGATTTCTTCTGCCGCCAGCTTTTTGTTAGTTTTATGGTATTTTGTATTTATATTTCTCAGCATCCGCCCTATGTGAATGGGTTAAGTGATGTGAAACGAACTGTAACATTGCAATAGGAGCGCAGAAATACTTGTAGGCGCAAGCAATAAAAGTCAAGCGACCGGCGAGACGCAAAATGTCAGCTCAATACTACTCATCCATTCATACTTTGTGTTATTCTGCAACGCAGACTCAGCTGATGCTTAATGGCTGAGTGACTGTGGCTCGCTGCTTGGTTGGTTGGTCGGTCGCTGTGCTGCCTGCCTGCCTGCTTTGTTGGATGATCAGATGCGGAACAGGTCACACCGCGAGATAAATAAACGTGTGGGAATTAACAACTCAAGCGAAGACGAAGCGACGTCAGCAACGCCAAGTACATATACACAAACACACGTACATACAACAAAAAGGCCACAGCAAGCGTCGAAGAGCTAATGGATGCTAAGAATTCAATGCGGCCTAAACGACAATGCGGCAATAACAACAATGCGTTGAAATGATGCGAAGCGTAGCATTTCGATTACAATTTTGATTTTACGTCACTGTGTGTGTGGTTGTTGTTGTGTCGAGTTTCTTGCTCTTTTCGTTTGTATCGAGGAGTGTGTGAGAGTGTATGTGCTGTAGGACGTTTGTTGCGATGCCTTTTGCTGCAGTTGTCAATTTTCCCAGCAGCCTGTGATGACGGCAGCTAGCCTGTGATTTAAAATAGCGAATGCACTCAGTGGAACACTCGAAATTTCAATGTCACGGCTAAACGTTGTTGTTGCTCTTTGTAGGGAGAAGTGCGCTGGCGGTATGGGGAGTAAGTAACGGCGCCGGCATTTCACACGAGAGCCGCTAGGCGGAAAATTATGGCTGTGAGAAATGCGTAGGAGATTTTTTAAAAAGTCAACAATATCTTTGCTTACTGTAAAAACGTAACGGAGGTATACAAAAATATGACAACAACAATGTTATGATCTCAGCAGGCGTAAATATGTTTTTATGTTTCTTTGAAATTTTAAAAATATTTCTTTAATGCGCCCACACTGTGCCGCCAGCTTAAGATTTGCCGTTGTCTCGAAATTACATAGCAACAACAACAACACGAACTGCCGTTATTTTCACACTGCATTGTATTTTGTCATACATTTTCGTGTGAAAAAAAATTTGAAGAAAAATTTCGTGACCCTAATGCTATTTTATGCGTTCCTATGCCCAGCATGTTAGTTATGTAAACAAAAGTAAACATTTTCACACGCAAATGAAATGATCGTGAATAATTTTACATAAATTTGCTATGAAATTTGTAATTTAATCTGCTTCAAATGCAGCTAATCACATCTGAAGCATGCAGTTATTTTTCTCAAAGGGGTTAATGAGATTTGAATAAAGTGTAACATAACAACAGGCGCGCAGAGTGCATGTGCAGCGCACGTGAGCTCTAACCTGGAAAATCTAACGTGGAAATGTGGAAAACTGTGGTGTTTAGTAATGGAAAGAAGAACAAGAGAGGATTGTGTTTTTTAAGAAATTCACTGAGTACTGGAAAATAGTGAACGCGTCTCGCGAAATACTGTTATAAGGCAAGAAAAGTATAAAATGATGTTCTCATATTGTCACAAAATATTTATGCGTTGAAAAAATTTCTAAAAATTAAGTAGAACAAAAATAATTTACGCGAGCGAGATTGAGTTGTTAAAAACTAAAGCATACCAGCAGGCGCCCAGTAGTAACAGCCGCATTTCCACCGCTTGCTTTTTGTTTTTTTTGTACTTGAAGCAGCATATTGCACATACATGAGCAGGTCAAAATTTTTATATTCAAAGTAAATAATAACAACAACAAATACTCAAATTAACGCTACACGATCTGCCACAGCAAAAGATGCATTTGAGTATGCTGGACCATATATTTTATTTTAAAGATCCCTTTGTAGACACATATACGCACATACAAATACTTTAAGATTTTTCTTAATTTCGTGCAGCAGCGCTATCTTTTCCACTTTCGAAATCTCCGAACCCACACTCGCGTTTCACAAATCTCTGCACGCCTAATGAAATTCAATTAGTGGCTGAAAACGCCCACATTTCATCTGTTCATAAAGCAGCAATTAACGAAATTCCACGTAATCCACACAAATGACCTTTCATAAATCACGTGGAAAATGTCAATTAACCGTTTGCAGCAATTACAGCTGCTCGCACAACAACAACAGCGATTAATATCCGTTTTGCCCAGCGGGCAAGCTAACGAAAGAGTTAACGCGTGCTCAAGTGTATCATTCGATTAGGCACTCAGCTATCGGCAGCAGGTGTAGAGGCGCAGAGGCGTGTATTTTGCTTGCTGGACCAAAAAAGTGCAACAACAACATCGTGTGGGGTAAATATAATAACAAAGCAGGGTTTGTTGGCTGCTTGGCTACCTAAATTGAGCGTGAAGAGCCGTTTGAAGAAATACTCCGTGTGAAACAGGCTCATTCTGACGTGACCACAGGTAGCGAGCGAGCCAGTCATCTGGCTGGCTATATGTACCTGTATATCGTATGTAAGTACATAAGCTTTTGTGCTGTCGTGTGTGCTGAGGGGTAACTGCGTGCATCCAAGCCAAGATTTTTGGTTGCTGAAGCGCGCAAAAGCGGTTGTGTAGATGACTGAACATTAACCCTTGGCGTGCTGCAGGGGTTTTGAAGAGAAAATAGTTCTAAGCTGGTGTATAAATATTTAAACAAACGCATAGCTTATATGGTTAGTACAACATGTCTGAGTGTGAATTTTAAATGCGAAACTCGTAACTTCGAGAAAACGAATCTAACCTCAAATTTTGAGTTTCAACGCTGCGGTTTTAGTTAACGTTTGTCCAAAGAAACAAATATAAAAGCAACGCTTTGTAGCTTTGCAATCGGTAACATTTATTTCCCGAGTATAAAAAGTTAATTAATATGGATAATGAGTTTTCAACCATTCTACTCCCAAATATATCTGTATCTGGCACTAAGCAAGCCTATGTACTCGTATATCCCCTTAGATAGAAAATTTGAATTTGAGCAAATAAATATTATTTATTTATAAAACACTTTAAACAAGTCGACACGTTCTATTGCCATTCAGTTACACGCTTAACAACAACATTAAAAAATGTTTGCACCACCAAGGGTTAAGAAAATTATACCTATATAGAAACAAAAATTGAAACTGTAGGTCTTTTCAAGAACGCAGAGCAATAATATTGAAATTCAAAATCGAAAAAAATGCGAAACAAGTGTTCCGTTAGACTGCGCAAGCCATTCGATTCTGGTTCATTGCGTATGAACAGAAAAATTGCGCAAGCGAAGAAACCAAAAAAAAACAAAACATTTACGGCACTTGCGTTCGAATTTGTGAATATTTGAACTCACTCGAGCATCCCTACGTTGCCGTGAGAAACTCTGATTTTTTCCGCTTATAGTTTTTAAAATTTGCAACGGTGTGGAAAACGCTGTGCGCCTAGTACCTGGTCACAGTCGTCGATTTCGAAAAGTTGAAGCGACGCTACACATTCGGCATATTATGTATTACGAAACAAAATTTTAATAATCAAACACATATATCTTCTTTAAGATCACGTTGACCCTCAAATTTGCAATAACGGCGGATGCTGCGAAGAAATTTTTCCAATATTTAATGGCGTTGCTTGTTTCTGCTTTTGTTCGCCTATGGCCCCGTCACGCTTTGTGATTTTGTATAAAGGGGAGCATAATCAACTCGCTTTTGTACGAATATCCAGATACGTACATCCCTACATATAGGTATGTGGGTATAAGGTGACGTTTGTGTTAAGGATATATTTAGGAGAACATTATTTTTATTTTTTTTTTATGGTTTTTTAAGCTGAAGATGCTACCGACAAAGCTGTTTGCCTGGTAAGGCTTCACGCTTTGTGACTTTTTTAATTTCAGCTCACTTATTTTTTTCTGGAATTCCGGATTGAATAAGAAATTTAAAATACAAATGTTATGAAGGCATTGATGACATGGCTGATCACCTAGCAGGTAGGCAAGCTGTATGATTTTCAGTCTAGAGGTAACCAAAATGTTTTTGAACGTCTTTAGTAAGGATATGGTTAACAGAAACTGCACTCCTGGTAGAATCAGACTTTGCATTTTTTAAGTTTTAACTCTTTCAAATCGTTAAAATTTTTTATTTTAATATACCATAAAGCAAAAGCGAGCTGGAAATTTGAAGAGTAACCCGCTACAAGCAATGGCGGCAAAACTATTTTTTCAACTGAAAACATGAATTTTTTATCCTCAATATTAGTTTTGGTATCTCTCTCGCTGTTTTTTCAACAATTCTTTGAAAAATTATGGAATAAGCTGTGCACTAGTGATCTGCTTACCTGTTAATGTCATGCTGTTCAAGTCTTTGACTCAAATTTTTTTAGTGATTTTTGAAGTAAAAACTGTTGTCTTTCTTTCGCTAATTTTGCTATATTTGTTTATACAGATTTACTATATTGAGGGAGTGACAGAAAGAGTAGAGAATGCTGTTTCATACTCTCTAGTCTCCTCTATTAAATTGTCTGTTTTTTAATTCCAGTTTCTTCATATTTTTTTGGAAATAGTCTCAAATATATGGTTTCGTCATGGCGCAGCTGGAGGTCCATTCCAAATCAAATAACAAAAGCATTCGATTTTCTTTCAAGTACCTGATTTTCTCAGTTTGAAATTCTTAGGCATGAAATTATTTTAGCATTTTCTTAACTGAAACTACCTCTTACAAGACTGTTTGCCTATTGCTTAAACAAACATTGTGGTTTTTCTTTGCTTATTTTCTTGTGGAATTCCTAGACTACTTAAGTGGAAAACACAATATTTTCGCTTTAAAATTGGTTTTTGCTTTGTTGTTCTTGAATTCGTTTTCATTCACAGATACCTGAAAATAAAATGCTTATTTAAAACTTGGATTATCTGTGTTATTCCGCTTTGTTTTGTTCTTCTGTTGTTTTCTTCTAAGTTCTTTTTTTATGAAAATCTATTTTCTTCTATTGCTCCGCAATGTTCTATGCAATGTTTTTCCACATTTCTGTGATTCAATTGTGATATCGAATTTTAAGCCGATTTTAGTATTCGCCAATCTGTTCTCCTGTTTGTTTTTTGTAATTTGTGGTTTCGTATTACTTTTCTGCTGTTTTTTTAAGTGCATGTGATCTGTAACATAATTCTTACCTGTAGGAATGTTCCAAAACCGAATTATGTGTTTTGACGATGTACTCGTATTTAATTGTGATCGCCTGTTCATTTGTTATACTTTGTGGTATCATGTTTCATTTATGATTCATTCTGGAATATGATATTTTCTTAAATAAGTGGAGAAAAAAGTTGTATTACCTTCCTCGTTAAAATATTTGCCTTGTTACTCTTTGAAGACATTGTCTATTCCTAAATATGTTTTTGAGTTTGATCTTATCTCAGCAGGCGATTTGTAACATAGGTTAAGAACAAGCAGGTAAAGATCACTCGTCTAATCTCAAGCTGAGGTATTTACTCAACGCAGAAGGTTCACTGTGTACATATATGAAGCTGGGTCTCCTACTTTAAATGCTGTTCTCCTGTTAATATATAATACATTGCGGTTTGTAACCCTTTGCTCATTCATGTTTATAGTGGCTATGAAAAAACGGTTGTGATTTTTAAGATTAAAATTATTTGGGTGCAGATGATCGATTATTGGTTCTTCTTCTTTCTACTTCAAACTCATTTTACTATCCTAGCTGTTTGCATCTTATCTAAAAACTAACTGTTCACCACTTCTCTACACTTTTGTATATTCATACCTAAGCCATAAAGTGAGCAATAGTAGTCAGCGGCAACTGTTAGCTATCTTCAAGTAGGCAGGTCACTCAGTTACACTGTGTGTGAAAATGTCACGGCATGCTGCACTTTGTTTTTGGTCATTCAGTTCACTGAAGCATCCAAGCTGAACTAGAACGATTATGACATAGAAAGGTTAGTAGGCGTTTAGGAGAGAGTATATATGTTTATATGTATGTATATATAATCATACACATGACTTGTGTGGATGCTGTAGGTTTTTGCTGCGCTCCTAATATATTGTTATGGTCGTTGATTTTACTTTAGAGTAACCGTAGTGGAAAAGGTTTCGTCAAGGAATTAGTGAGATGCATGAAGTACTTTTCATATGTATCATATTGTAGCTAGCATTTCTTAAATTTTAAAAACAAATCGGGTTATAATTTTATGAAAACAGTTAAAAAATTCCGAACAAATTTCAGGACCCCGGAGTAAATTTTTTGATCCCGAAATTTCGAGATTTTCTAAATTTCATTTTAGAATTAGTGTTTATGAAAACAGTTGAAAATCAAAGAATACCGAAAATTTTCGGGATCTCAAAGTATATTTTTTTGATACCGAAATTTCGGGATTAAAATTTGGTTCAGAATCGGTGTGTACATCAAATAAAAATATATTCATACATTATTTTGTACCTATATCTGGTACGCTTAGAAACACCAGCAATTAATAACAAAAAAGGACATATGGAACTTAATTTGTTTAATTCCGCTGGCAACGCGCCCAAAGGCATCTATTGCTTGTATTTTCGAAGTATTGTATAATAAATACTACAAACTTAATTGCTTGAAACAAGTGTTCCATTAGAGTAGACAAGCTATTAGATTCCGGTTCATTGCGTGTGCACACAAAATTGTAAATGGAAAAAAAAATTGTTACGCCGATTGCACTCCAATTCATGGATGTTTGAACTCACTGGAGCATCCCTGCCGTGTGAAAATATATGCGTGTATATACCCATATATACATATATGCAGTTTTTATAAATTCTAAAATTATTCGCATTAATTTTACATGGAATCGTGCGCAAAACGCTGTTCGCCGGATAGTCGGTCACAGTCGCCGATTCGCGAAATTGAAAAACGTTTTCAATATTTTGTAGCGAAGTGCATGCACATGCACACTCAAGAATATTGAGTAGGAAAAAATATATACCTTTGTATAATTCAAATTAAAAGTCCGACTGTGGAAACCAAGTGCATAAAAAGTAAAATTTTCGTATTTTTTTGGATGCTGTGTGGAAGAGAGATCTTTCCCAAACAAACTATTACACATGGTATATGCCAAGACACAATTAAGCCACCTCCACACTGCTACTGTCAGCCTGTGACATCGTCACGCTTCGTGATTTTTACCTGACAATATCGATAAACTACTTGTAAGCTGTGAAGGACAAAAAGATGAAACGTATTTGAAAATGGTCAGACATTTGATCCTTTTTTAACTTATTTTAAGGATATCTGTATATCTTGTTTATTTTTTCTACTTATAGCTTTACTTCTTTTGGTTGAGAATACTGCTCGGTAAAACTGCTCACCTATTGCTACTTCATGGTTTGTGGTTTTCAGTTTTTTATTTTTGCTTTATTTTTTTCTCTAGTGCCTTGTCTTTAAAATGTTTCGAACAAAATTTATTAACTGCCACTGCTGTTTACCTGATAAGTGGTCACGATTAGTGATTTCGTGTTTCAAAATTATTAAGTGTTTTGTTGCTAATTTATTATGGTATGCATGTATATTCAAAACTATTAGCTAATGATCCCCCGCTAGATCGTCACGATCAATGATTTCAGAATTCAAACACCAATAGCAATCAACAAGTTTTTTCAGCTTGTGAGTACGTAAATGATAAAAAGGATGCTATTTGTTCAACATTTTTGAAGCCTACGTCACTTAAGTTAGTTTGCTGCCAGAACTGAACACCTGATAAGGAGTGACCTTTTAGGGACAGATGGCCTTTTTTGAACTTTGGTAGTAGGTATATAAAAGTTGAGGGCCTTTTAAGGAGAAGTAATGTTTTTATATTTAACAAAGTTGCCATATTTTTCGATTTCTTATCCTTTTTATAACATAGGTTGACTTTTGTTTTGGTATTTCTCTGACATAGACTGATGTAAGATTTATTCTATGACACGAAGGTGAAACAGTTGTATGGACTTGTATAAAGACATTTAAAATTGATTTTGTTTTGGTTTTG